ACTTCAAACCAAATTGCACCAAACAGACTTCAAGCAATACACTCATTTGCAAATCATTTTGGTTTTAACGAGTGACTCAACTGAATCTTTCGTTTATGATATTCTACAACTGAATGTGCTGCACACAGGCTGCCTCTTGTTTCAGTTGGCACGATATTCAAGATACCACAGTGTATTTTCGTGAAGGAAACTACTCACAAGGTTGATGAAAAGTGTTCGACAGCCAACGACCGGTTTCGCCTTTCTTGGGACAATGGCTGATGGAAACTAAGGGACTGCGCCTAACACGATGTGCACTGGTTCGGTAACTAAGCCTGTTCGTCGGAAGGGTATGCAGTTTCAAAGGAGGCTTCGCTTTGCGCCTGTGCCGTAGGGAAAGCTAGCAGCTTGGTGTCGTTTCTGGGTTACACATGAAAGTCACCGATAGCTATCGATCATTCGGTCTCGCCCACTATGAATGTCCGTGCGCACTCGCCTCCAAATCAGCATTCCGCCTGTCACAGCTCAAGCGGTCTATTCACGCAACATCACTGAAATGATTGAGTGCGGTGTGAAATCCTGATGGTCTGACACAGCTGCATCGGTGTGCTGCCGTGTCTGCGGAATTGCATGAATGATCACTTGACATCGTATTTCTTCCATGGCATCGTTCTATGCACATTCAGGGGAAACGAGACGAGCGAGAGAGAGAGAGAGGTCTGCCAACTTGACATGGTGTTTGGGCTTTAGTGCTGCATGTTGCACTGGCTGGAACCCACTTTCTCAAAAGGCTCAATCGTGCTTGGAAAACCGCCGGGGAGCAAACCACCGAAGAGCGTCGAATCTTACTGTACTACGAAACGAGCATGTTCATATTTACGGGGAGCAGCAATGCTGCCTCCTCCCGAGTAAGGACAGATTAGAAAGGATCAACCGCACACTCCACTCGCTCAACGGTTGACCGCGGCACATTATCCAAGAGACATCTGATGCGCGTAGTGACATTAGGACTCTGAGTTCCATGCCACCACCATCAAACTAGGCTAGCCCCAAATGCCCTGTGGGTCCGAACTCAAAGTAAAAGACTTAAGAAATAAGTCCCTGTTGCATCGAAGTTTTGTTGAACTCTTACACAGAGGATGGCGGATAACACAAGTGGAGGCCCATAAACCCAAATACAAACACGCCCGTGGGACTGCTGTCGAAACAGTTTGCAAGAACGGAGACGCGTTTGGTATGACTAAATCGACACAGTGATATCTATCCAGCTTCTGAAACACCCGGGGAATGCTGGACGAGTTGAAGTGAAAAGCTCCAGTCGTACGCGGATCATCGTTGCCAAAATAATTCTTTACACACTGAAAGAAATCTATGGACCGAGAGCCAAATAACCTCATACGACAGAAGATAAAAAACTGAAATGTCTGATGAAATTCTGTCAGCTGGAGAGATGTAGACTCTAAGTTGACGACCTCAATGTACAGTGAAAACCTATTTGGCTGACTTCCTCAGAGCCGCAGAACTGCAGCAAACCATAAATCGATTGCAAAATGGGGGAACAGCAAGAGTAGGTGGTTCACCTGCAGACCATTTAGGAGGACTGACACTACAGGATGGATTTCAACGCCTGCTGTGTACAATTTTGGAGATGGAGAACGTTGCTCAATCAAGCTTTTAGGGGTGCAGCAGTTTCTCTGTATAAATGGAAAGAGTCGGTAGAAGGCAGACAGCTCTCGTGAGATCGGCCTCCTAATCATAACAGGCAAGCTAATGACTCAAATGCTGCCCAGTTGACAAGTCGACGACATCCTGGAGAAAAATGATTTTGCGGACAAGTGAGGATTCTGAAGTGATCGACGAACGGTTGGAGCCGACTTCACCCTGAATTGTATGCGAATTTCACCTGAGCCTGCAACTATGTCAGCAGAGAGACATTGTGAAAAACTGGGAAAGTTTTCCGTCTCATCAGGGTCTCACACTGGAATTAGAGCCCAGGTTCAGACCTCTTCGAAAGCGATTCGAAGCAATACCGACGCGTAGCAGGGCTACTTTCTCCCCGGCTGTTTTCAGTCTCTATTTCTTAACAACCATGTGCACGAAAGCGTTCCGCTATTTCGGAGGTGGTACTCCAAACCAGTACGGGTTGCATGGTCATCTATTCAATCCGAAGCGTTTCCCGGCTGCGCGAGTTGAAGGTACGCAATTTGAGGCGAACTTCCAGGGCTGGTGTTCGGGTCGATGGCTTCTCGCCTTGCCTAAAGTATAAATACTCCGGGGATTCACACTGTAACAGCAAGTAAATTTCGGAATAGAGGTCCGAGCAGATGAGTATTTTGCAAGTCTGCAAATGAACGTATTTCGCGAACTTAAATGTAAGTTCACCATTGGGGCCACTCCTTTGGAGTAGAATTCAGTGAAAAGCTATCACATTTCGTCGGTCTTTCAAAGTAGCCTCTGTAGGAGGTTGAATATAGTACCAGTGGCCTCAGTTACTGGAGTCTATTTGCCGAGAATTGGGAATGCGTCATACAGGATTAAACCACTGACCGGAAGATCGAGGGTTCGCGATTCCCAATGCGGTTGAAACATCTCTACAGTGATCCTCAACTCTTTCACGTGGATCAAGGTACGCGGCGAAGTTCTGATTAAAAGTTTCAAACTTAGTCATACTACCAACACATGTAATCGACAGTCAGTAAAAACGAAAACGTCTTTTTGAGACACAAAACCGGATTTACTTTGTTATTTTTACAAGCTTTAAGTCACCTCTCGCTAAAGAGGTACGATATCCATCATTTGGCTACACTGGTCACCCGATGCTGAAGGCAGAAATGTAATGGCACATCGTTCGAGATAATTTATGATGGATGTCTGGGAATCTAAATGTGACAGCTCGAACGAAAGGCCCGTGTATATTTCCTGAAGATGTCGCTTCAGCTGCATTCGTGTCTCATCTCACGAGTTTGCTTCTCGCTCAGGTAGGGAATCAATCGAACGACGGTGATCTTTCCCTTCTGCGCCACTCTGTCCATATTCGTATGACATGTTGCCTCGAACATCAGTACAACGCTATACAGGCCTGATTCCTCTCCCAACTTCCTGATTAATTTTTTCACCAGTTGTGGGCAATGTTCATGCGTAAAAGACCTTTCTGAACAACATATTTTAAAATTCCACGCAGTTCGTGACTGCGGCGAGATGTCTAAGTGGTTAGAGTGCGAATTTACTGACCGGAAGGTCCATGGTTTGAACCCGACCGTCTCTCAACTTACCCTATCTAGGCTTGAGCAACCTAGAGGCATCTCAGCTCTCGCGCTTCACTCAGTTGGCATGGCAGCTAGGCACTGAAACGGTTCTGCAGCTGAACGATTATTTCACGGCTAACTGGACTATCCTACCATGGAGGTGCGCTGTTTTGAACTGCATTCTTTGGTACGAAATTGTGGGTCCTCTCTGCTGAGCACAAATCATCAAGTCGATCGAGATCATATTCATCCCCTGATGTTGACAGCCTATAAACTCCTCCACAAGTTTTCTGTGGTTTTCATCATCTACTGGCTCCCGCTTATGGCACGGCTGTGTGTACAGTCTACCATCCAAGTAATTGAACACAGTCGTGGTGGAGACCACCTTAGCGAATTTCGCGTCTATCTTCGTCCTGAATGTCTGTAAAGTCATCGAAGGGTCGTCGGCAAGCCGATCGACTTTTGCTTCACTCAATGTCCTCGGTTTCTTCCCTGTTATAACTTGCTGGACGGTAGTGCAATTCTGTGTCGGTCCCTCGGCTTCCTGCTCCGCCCACTATGGTATAGCAAAAGGCACGGTAGCTCTACACAGCCCTTTATGGAGACAAAGGAAAATCATTACAACTGTATATATATATAGGGTAGTCACAGAGTGTTCCACAAGGTCGTGCCAGAATGTCCGTGAGGGGGCGAGAACCGTCGAGTCAAGGTGCTTGACTCGGATTGGCTGGCATTCTGACCAATCAGGGCATTCCTACGTCTGGCCCGTGTCCTGCACGTGACACATGCGTCCAAATGATGTGATGTTCGGTTATTAGGGCCGGCTGGCCCCCGAACATTCTCCCACCCCTTGGATTGAAAAATCTGCTAGGACTGGACGTAGATACCCAACCACGAGGTGTTATCAGTTTCCAGTCATCGCACCTTTCGTATGCATCTATGACACTGATGGTTTGATAGTCGTGGCTTGCAATTCATTTTCAGCCACGCGGCCCGCGAAACAAAACGGATGGAACCCAGATTAAAGTCGATCTGGCTTGGCGACTGACTTGTGGCCTGATTGGTCAGTGAGCACTGTAGCCAGATTTGACCAATGATCGTTACACGAGGCCTATTGCAACGGATGGAGGTGATTTGCGTTACTCTTGAACTGGCCAAGTGTCCTTACGGAATGCGGAATTGGTGAGGCGGGAATCGATCATCCCCGAAGACAATGGATGCGAGTGAGTTTTCTGTTCCTCGCGTGCCCTCAAAGCTGGACTGTAAGCGCCGATCACTATATGCAATAAAAGGCAGTTTATACGAATGGACTTTCAAGCTAACCGCCATAAACAGGAGAAACAAATCTTCCAGCTCAGAAGAGATAAACATCCCCGGTCGCATAGGCCTTCCGTCTGGGGAAACGTTATTCGTGGAGCCATACAACACCGGATCACGAAAGGTGAACTGCGTGAAAGATGAATGATGTTATATCCTGTCTGTGCGTTTAGTTTTGAACGGTTGGACGGCATAATGTCAGTGCCACCAATCCGAGGGCCACGGATTCGATTCTCCGCGGATTCTCTCGATAGCGCAGAATTAACAGGATGGTCAGCTTCCTGAAAGCAACCACTGAATGCCCGAAATCTACCGAGACTCTCAGCTCCGCTAGATGTTGACCAGACAGACAACGCCCCCTCAGTAGGCAGCGCGTCACAGCCTTGTATCAAAACCAGACAGCGCGAGTCAGCGTTGATCAAGGTCAGACAACGCCCCCGCGATATGCAGCACGTCGCCGCCTCGTACTAAAGCCAGAACGTGTGCGTCAGCATTGGACCAAGTTCAGACAGTGTCCTTCCATTGAAAAGCTTGGGGCCGTTGTACTTTTCGCACTCGCACTCTCGCAACCACTTTGTTGGAATATAGCTATTGTGTTCCCTTCCGTGAGCCTTTTTCTCTCCGACACTAGGCACTGGAGCGGGTCAGCAGCAGATACCACAGGCCGGCGAATCAACAGATATAACAAGAATAAGGAAACGGCCTCTCGGATTTCCAGCACAGATCCATCCCAGAAGATGAAAGGTCTATAGATAATTTGATAACTTTTCATCTACTCAGCCGAAAAAGTTGATTCTTTTGCAATTTTAACATATATTTCTTCGAAACGGTGTTTGCCTCATTAGCGCTCTGAAGATTTTCGTGAATTGTTTGACGGAAAGTTGGTGGTGGTTGACTCAGATAATCAAGATTTTATGTCCCGAACACGACTCTACCGGATATTTCCATCCTTTCGCCATGAAAATTGAGGGCCCAAGGTTGTCAATTTTGTGATTCGCTTCAGCTTTATCGAAACTAGTTTCCGTGTTAGTGTCTAAATCCCATACGTAAATTTTTTGGCAGTCACATCGAGTCTACTTAAACGTGGCTATACAGAAGATGGTTTTTTAACAAATTTTACTGTTGTGCTGATGAAGACGCTTTTATTACGAGAGAGAATCAATGAATAATAATTGGATAATACATTGTTGTGCGACAAGCGTGGCACAAAGACGTAATTGGTGTATGACTCTGTACAAGATTTTACAGTGGCAGCTGGGTGAAATCCTTTCAGTCTGTTCCAGCTGAACTGGAAGCTGGCAGAATCGGTGGAAGTGACGTGCCACCGGGTTGTGATGTGGTCGGATTCGGTCGTATCATCTGGAGGCGTTCAATCGCTCTCATTCGTAACTGTCCCGTGTCCGGGTTGACAATTTGCGACACGTTGAAACGATTTCGTCGAACCGACTCAATGGTATCTAGCGACAAATTATGCGACTGTAGCACGCAGACCAAATGTGACTTTGCCCGATAGTGTTTGTGTAAGTGTCCTGTCACGCGGAAACCAACCTGACAGACGGAACATTTGTAAGGTCGAGGATCTCGTGGTCGACTGTTGGTGATGGTGGTCGTCGTTGAAGTTCGTCTCACTTCCGATTGCGCGTGGTCCGTTTGTCTTCTGGGAAGCAGTGGTAGACTCGTCAACGTGTCACAAAGGTTCCCGTTTGTCGTTGTGCTTGCACCCTTTCCAGATGATTTTGGAGGACTATACAAGTTGGCGGTGCTTGTCACAGTATACGATGCGGAACCAACGGCCTGCGAGGATGAGCAGCTAGCCGGTGGAGCCGAAGTCCGGGAAATGGAATGTGGAGTTCGGGCTGGAGATAAGATTGGAACAGGGGTCTGAGGACTGGTAGTCGTCGACAACACACGTGTCATTGTTCTGCCTCTGCGGTCCAAACTGGTATCAGCTGGCGAAGAAGCACGATCAGTGCATACTTGAAGGGATAAGACTATTAGGGGAGAATGGGGAAAAACAACGGAAAAATCGATTGTTTGTTCACTCATGCACAATTCACTGAATTAGAAAACCGATCCAATACGGTTCAAAGGAAGCGTTTCGGTGGAAAGCATTGATGACTAGTGTCAACAGAACAGGAATAAAATAGAGAGCCACTGTCATCTACAGTCAAGCAAGGCGACTGCTAATACTTGTCGCTTGCTGCACCGTGGGTAGATAAACCTGAAAAGTACGGAGGATGCATACGGTAGTGAAGCATCGGTGTTGAACACTGATGTCATGCTGTCGATGATGATGATGATGGTGATTGTGATGACTCCCTCTAGGCAGCCACATATCGGTTGATGTAAACTAGATCCGGTAGTGATAAGATAGATACGGCAGTGGAGCATCGGTGTTGAACACTGATGTCATGCTGTCGATGCTGATAATGATGACGGCAGAGGCTAAACTATACATGTAGCTACATTCAACAGGTTCTTAAATACGCAATTGGAATATGCAGAGCTGTGACTCGGGGCTAATCGAGTCCTGCAACTCTGTACGCTTGTAAAATGCGCTACCCTCTCATACAGTGTTGTAGCCACGACGAAGAAAGACAATTTTGTTTGTGCTTGGTAGTCAACAGAGAAATTATGATGCTTCAAACGATAGAAATCAGCTTGCTGAAAAGCGAAGCACTGGAAAACTTCAGATCCTCTAGCTTAAAAGGCAAATGTCTGAGAACCGGTGCAGACAAGTCTAAGATAAAAGACCAATTATGTGAGTGGACAATTCTGCTTTCCAAAAATATGGATGTTTTGAACACTCTTTTCAACGTTTTACCTATGCCACACTGTTTTATCTGCTCATTTGTCACTCTGTGGAATCTGCTGCTGACCTGCTCCAGTGAATAGTGCCGGAAAAAAGATTCACAGGAGGGAGCACAAAAGCTTTATTCCAAACAAGCGATTGCGTGCGAGCGCAAAAGTTACAGCGACTCCGCGCCACTTGAAGGCCACCTTCTGACATTGCTTCAGACTGTCTAATAGGCGTTTAGTGAACACCCATCAACATCGATCGTGCTTCTGTGAAATGCCTGAACGCAGATCACATTCGGTCGTGCTTCTGTGGCGTGCCTGAATGCTCATCAGCTTGATTGAATGATTGACTGGCTTGGATGCTTGCCGGCTTTCCTGTTGAGATGTGGGTGAAGTCTTAGGGTCTCAGTAGATTCTTGGCGACCCGGGGTTACTTTCAGGAATCTGACCTTCCTGATATACCTTCCTGATATCTGACCTTCCTGATAAATACACAGTTTAGGTTTTGTCGCCAAATTCTAGAATTCTCTTCTAGATCCAGCTGCTGGTGTTCCATCTTCCAGCTAGAATTTTTGAGTTCGGGAGTCAATGTATAGGCTCGAGTAGGCTGAAGCTTTCGTGAATCAAACTCCTCTGGAACGAGGGACTATGATGAGTTCACTCAATTTCTGGCTGTTGAAAGTCAACTGCCAGCTTTCGGGATGAACTGAGAGGAGTCTACAGCCCCCCACACGGTCTGCTATAGCTCATACGCCTCATCCAGGGGCTAAAACCTCAGGTGTGTTACGGTTATATCTCCAAGAATGGCATATGTCTCAATCACTACCTGTAGTTACCAAAGCCAGTGTTTTATTAAAAAAAAGCCATTTTCACTGTTACCTCTCAGGTTCGAACCTGCCAATTTTCAAGTATAACTTGGCATGCAAAACGGACCTTCATTGAGAATCCTAAGTCACAAGTTGCAAAATAACTTAAGAACTAGAGAAGTACCCTGTCAATCGATATTTCGAAAGAACTCCAAACAGTAAGACCTTGGACTAATTCACCAAAAGTGAGGAATGAAGTGACAGACAACTAACGGGTCAACTAACGAGGAGACCACCATCAACAACCAGGTCGACCGAATCTTTGGTGTATCGGGGCGATTGCTATTCGCGGAAAACAGTCCGTAGGGATGAGAGCTCGGTTTCAGAAAAAAACTGGTCGACCGAAATGCAGAGACAAACTGGTTGATCTACCTTGTTCAGCAGACTGATGTAATGGTGTTGCGTTATTGGCGACGGGGTGAGGTTTTTCGTGGCTTAGTGTCCTTGCAGCCGCGACCGCGGTACGCACGATCTCTTCCGCATCCAGAACCGTCAGTTTCGAACCAACAGCAGCCTGATTGGTTGGTGGGACTGGATTGGTTAACACTGAGGAAGTTGAACCGGAACACGGAAGAGTCCCGGAAAGGGTGGAATCTAACTGATAAGGTATGACAACTGTTGCCTCCCGAGGGCGTACGCTGAGGTTCAAAGGAAGATCCTAAAGTGTGAGAACAAGCAGAGCAAGAACATTACTGGATCACATAGGGAAGCCTAGACGAACAGCCCACTTTCCTCATTGCCCATTGTGAGACACGTATATCCTAATTCCGCGAACTTATCAAAATCGAAATGTCATTAACAGTACTACTGACTTAGACCTATAATATTGTTCTGTAGACAGCATTTAGTTGCCACTTTGGGGTCAGTCCAAAATCAATCGTGGTATTTTAGCTAGCTATTCACACCCAACACATCTGCACAAAGGATTCTCAGCGGACAAAGCCCAAGCAAACTTTCTTGTGGACCCCTTGTTTTTGCACTCGCTCCATCCGTAGTCGGACATCTTTTGTGGCAGAGCAAAACGTTGTTGGGGATGTGAGTATCCCCAAAAACGGCTTATTTTTCGAGTTATTGCCAAATGATTTTTCAAAAATTTTGAATGCTTAGATTTCGCGCCTTTTTCCGCCATGTCGCACCTCAGTCCAAAAAGACCGCGCCCTTTTCCTATTGGCCAGTTACACCTTGTGCGCACTAACTGATTTATCGCTCCCCAAGGTCGCTCGAAATAATCAAATATAGGATGTTGCTCTCACCGTAATTCGCATTTGGTTGAGGCAGTAAAAGCCCTCTTCTGAAGGTCTGGTCTTCTCTCTCTGTGCTAGGGGTGGTAGGGTTCGCGTAATTGCTGGGGTTTTGTGCGCTCGTTCTCAAACCTTGTATAGCCGTTGATCGTCAGCGACTTCGATACATATCATTAACTGAACCCTTCGTTTGGATTTAACCAACCTGGTTTACTACTGCAACTTCAGTCTGTCCCTTCCATAGGTTCAGCGATTTTATTAACGATGTTCGTTTGGCCTGATGCATTAGCGCCGAATAACTATTGAAAATATCCTTTACACCTGATTTCCCCCCAATAGCGACATCAGTGGGTGTACTTGGTTTCAATGTAAGCTATATTACTGGGGTGAACATCGCCATTCTCCTCAGTTTCATATTTCTCCATCTCTTCCTCTCCACTTGTGCTTTTAGTAGCCCTGACCATTCACTCAACCGCTCAAGGACAATCAGGCCGGCAAAGTTTGCCCAGTTTTAGTTCAAGTAAACCGGTTTCGTCTTTGAACCAGTCGTACCTCATGCCTCATCGCTCCGACTTTTTTCCAAAATCTACGGCTAGGTATCACGCGATAAAGCTTTCTCCTAGATGTACCTTCCTCTCATTGTGTTGTTGCTCCAATGAGCTCAGTTTCACCGATTCGTATATTGATACACAGGATCGCGGCATTCGCTAAGTTTTCCTGGGTCGGCTGTGGTCCTGTCGTTTGGCGGCTGTTTTTTACCTGAAAGGCACAAGCGAAAAGAGGGTGTGAGGGAACAGTAAGCTTGCCAGCGGGAGAACTCGCATAAAATAGTGTCTAATGGTGATATGAACTGGGTTCTAGATGTGTCATGGACAACCTTCGGAGGAATGTTATCCCACTCAGTTACTACCGAAAAGGGAAACAATATCGCCCAGTGGAAGTGTGCGCTCTAAGCCTGAGAATCTTCTTACCATGTTTCCGGTGTGTTTCCTTGGTCTACGGTGAGAAAACCGTTGGCAGACCCTTGCTCAAACAGGGCATCAGTAATAATGAGTTCTCCTCGGAGGCGACGGTACTTCATGGGCAAAAGGTCAAGCAGCGTAAGACATGCTTCCCAGTCCACGGATTTGGGGCCGGACACGCTCGTTGAAGTTTAGGTCCTCTGTGCGTCCTGCGTAGACAACTTGGTTGGCATATTCAAGAAGTGGTGTGAGGTAGGCCGCATAGAGTATTTGGAATTCCATGTGAATAATACGGGAGAAGTTAGCCAAATAATCCGTATGGTGGCGGGGGAGTTTTGGGCCGATTTCTCATGGTGTAGTGAAAAGTAAATGAGTAAAGAGAGCTAGATACCCAAATACTTTTCGAAAATCTATCCTCGTGATGTCTTCTGGTCCATTCTTACCATGCACGACATGAGCGTCCGCTGAGTCTCCTCTAAATGACAATAGACGCGCTGCTCGTCACTCAGAGGAAGATACCAACCCAGCGGCCACTGCCTGGATACACGGAATGTCTTTTCTTGGTGATAGCCAAGTCAAGGGGGATTGTTAGTTGGCTTGCGCGATATAAGGTGGGTTCAACGACACAATGAGTTCAAACGCTCTCCTAACGAACTTGGCCAGCGCCGCTACAAAAGTTCACTTAATCCGGCGTGCTGCAGCAGTATCCACGAGGAATTCGGAGCACCAAACTCACCTACCAGAAAGAGAGAAGTGGTACGTAAAGAAGAGTTGCTCAATGTTTGGTATGAGGAACTAGTCATCTTCCGGGTGCACGACAAGCAAAGTTAGACCACATCGCAAAGGATAAAATGGACTCGCGCAGTGGAATTTGAATCCACCGTGCATCGCAAAAGACGCCGGAGTTGCATCAGAGGACAACTGTGATTGACAGGGCGCATGTAGAACCCCCGCCAATACAACTCGCAAAAAATGGAGTAGCCTTCCATCCGCATAAGAGACATTTCGCGTGAGCCAGACTAGTGTGAATGCGATTAAGGACGACTGTTTAAAGCTAGCTGTTTGATATCGCAAAAGTTTGTTGAAAAGGGTGAGACAATTTGTGGACAATCAATTCAGCACTCTCTGCTGCCTCCGAAGGCGAAAAGCCGAGATGTGCAACGAGGGGTAACAGATGTAATAGATGCACGCCGAGTTTCAGTTTAAGGCTCCAAAGAGTCCACGATGGCATACTTTTCTGCTTCCTGCGATGGCTCCGAGAGTTGCTTTTTACTAGCAGGGTTATTTGCTCCGCTATAGCCCGTTTTGCGCGGACCATTTATCTTTAGGGGACGTAGTTTTCCCTCCGTGTGCGAGTATTTCCACCGCTGCTATCTGTAGCTTGTTCAATGTCGCCTTTTGAACGATCAGATTTTCTGTTGTTCAAGGATTTGGGACAAATATGTGTGCTTTGTTTCTTGGGAACTGTGGTGCGGTTCGGGAAGAACGTGCCTCTGCGGGGCTTTAACCTTTGCATGGATGCACCAAGTGTTACACTTTTTGGCGGCACTTACATAAGTCTCGTTTTCACCAGTACTTTTCTGAATTGGTGAATTTTGAGTGGTTTGTATGATTGTGGTCGCAATTCCTTTGATTTGTGGATTCCCGAGTCGCCTGCGATCAGTGGGGCTAACTGAGTTACGAAGGATTTCCAGGTTTGTGGCTTTGGCTGTCAGTGTTCTGGGCGACGAACGTGTACGCAAACGGAAAGGCAACTTTAGACATAAGAGAAGCGGAGTTTGGCAGTTTCACGTTCTCTGTTGTTGTATGGTTCTCGCGGCATTCCCCGAAGTCGAGGTCCAAGCTTGTGGTTGATTTGTAAGTAGGCCTCGCTGCTTGTCTCCGCAAGTTTGACCCAGTCCAGTTTAGAAGTTGCGGCATGGGTGTGGAGTTACCTGCTGCACATTTATCGTCCGTTACACAAATAATCAATGATAGCACCGCGAACCTTGGGCGCTGCGTTCAATCGAGGCTTGGCTCATTCCTAACATGGCTGTGTTTGGTAGTCGAGCCGTCTGCGGTAGTTGAGTACGGACTGCAATCAGGAGTCTCCGCCGGTTGCGCCAGCGGGCCTTCTGGGTCACAAGGGACAAGAACTGTGATCGGTTCGGACATAAGTTTTGGGTCGGTTAAACCGGCATCAAGTGTAAGCCTGTTTGGCACCTCACCCCTAGATCTGCTCGGCCCAGCATTGGCGCCTTTATAGGTCGGTCATCAGATATACGCCTGATCGTTGAGCAGGTCTTTTGAATGCTGTCAGTCCATTTTGAGATCTTCCGTACGGCAGGCGGGAAGGAAAGAGGGACTATAAGCCTGAGTGTTCGCTTGCGTCCCTTCTGCCGCGACCAATCCGCCCGAAGAGATTCGTTTTCGGGCTTTGTGATGAGCGACTATGTCCGCTTCGTTAGCATTTTTCTTGAGGCTGACGTCCAGATGCCCAGCCTTCTCTCCTGTCCACCAGAGACGTCGTGACAGTATTTGTTGCCGCATCAAAATGTTGGCTGACCATTTTCGCAGCCAGCTGGTCCGGACTGGGTGGCTTAAGATACTCGTTGGGCGAAGGAAGTTCTTTATAAAAATTTTTGTCCAGATCGCTGCGTTCTTTGTGTCTGAGTCTTCCGGAGCCTCGAGTACCCCGACTTAGGCGGAACTGTCACACTGGCTTTGCCGACTTAGCAGTGGGGATTTGGTTTCTTTCTTGGTAGCACTTTCTGGTTTCGGAATGCCTTGCGCCCTTAATGTAAGAACAGTTGGCGCAGTCAAACGGGTCAGCAGAGTTATCTAGTCAAAATACATGGTAGTTCTGTAGACCCGTGCATTTAAAGTACCACCAGGCCTTGCAGGTGTGCCACTGCATACCACATCTTACGTTCGATGGAAGCCCACTCCGCTCACATTTATTGTGGTCCGCCAATGGTTGTAGAGAGCAGTTTGTGTTGATTTGGGTCAGGGTCGAGACTGGGCGCACCGCAGGAATTGAGTGCAAACTGGCGGAGATTACAAC